GCGCACGGGTGCGTTTGCGTGTGAATGTATATGCATGTGCATATACGTGTGCGTTGCGTACGCGTATGTGAATAAGCGTATGCACGTTTGTTTATAATGTATATTATAGTACATCTTGTATAATAATATAATATATACTTCGCGAAAAGAAGATTATATATAAATATAAATATAAACATATATATATTTATATGTATACATGTGCATAACATGTATCTATACATGCATAATATGTACACACACACATATATACCAAGCGTATGTAGATGTACATACTGTACAATATATGTGCACTTTATATTACACTCGTGCATAAAGTGTAACGTATAAATATGCACGTATATGAATAGAAAATTGCGTACACGCGCTCTATGGAAGTCCTAAGCGACGTGTACGCGCACATATGTGTACGCGTACGATTATTGACGCGAATATTTAAATCTATTCTTGTTTTGCGTGCATAAACATGAATCAAAAATCAATGTTTAAGTTCTTTATTTCCATTACTCCCCCCTTACCCCCAACCCCACTCCTGCACTCATTTGTCGCTACTTACTTGGTTTTCATCGTTATGTAATCGATCTCTTGTCTTATAATCCTTTTACCTAATAATATTTTTATGCCACATTATGCATAAATGGTACTCGGTGACACTCGATGACCCTCGGTTTATAACTTTGTCATAAATACAGTCTATCGTCATAGAATCGAAACTGTTTCTCGTGCTTCGAATACAACTCGATATTACAAGGATATATCTTCACATTCCTCCGACATACATAATTATGCATAACGATATTAATTCTCAACGATTCTCATCATGCAATTTTTCAATTTTTTACCCATGCTATGTATGTGTGTATATATGTATATACAACTAAGCAACCGTGATTAAATGACTACGTATATGAAAAATTTCATACTATACGAAAATCGCCCATAGAATATCATTCGAAAACATTTTCTGCGCACAAACTTTTATACACTCTCATTATATACAGTTCAAAGTGTAAATGCTAGATTTTTATAACTAGTAAAATCTTTTTTCCAATGACTTTTTCAACCGATATAAACATAAAATCGAATAATTTTCGCATGTTAAGATAATATTTACACGGATAATGAAACGTTTAAAGTAATTACGTTGTCTTTTAATTTCTTTCTACGATATATTTCTACGTACTTACGTGTCACTGCCGCTTTTACGTCTATTTCAGCAAAAAATTTGTCGTTTCTCAAAAAACAAACATGATGCAAAATGTATAAAGACAGATGATCAGTACTACCAATGTTATGGGAAGATTCAGATAACACTTATCTGTTGGAACGGTACGGCACGGAATCGATATGATTCCATGCTATGACACTTTGGATATTGTACACCTTTGATCTTATAAAACGATACTACGCGGAAAATTCCGGAAATAATAAAATAACGGTAGAAATACCATTTTGTCCGATAGATTAATCTGAATATTAAGAAGAGGTCAGGAAAACAAATAACAGAGGTAAAAACAGTTTTTTTTTTTTTTTGTAAATTTAATTCATAACCTGCAAAACAATATATTTTTTACTATTTCATACATGTACAATATATGTGCATATGTACATAATATGCGCACAGCGGTGTATATGCGCTAACCAAATATATTATCAGATATGTTATACTAGATTTCTATAAAACGCATTAGTATAATCAAGATTATCGTATAAACACTGCACATGTACCTAAAATTAGGCACGGCTTCACTCCTTTACAATTTGTACTGCCGCATTAATTCTACAACTGTACGGTATCACAAACATTATGGTATTGAACTTTGGATAATATTTGGAACACTGACCTTTCCCTCAAATTACAATTTGACTTATCTGTTCTCATTTCCATATAACTATCCCTACGCAAAATCGATTATGATGTAGCTTTATGTATATTTCACCGAAAACAGTTGTTTCATTTGTGCTTAACGATAAAACTGTGAAGACGGAGCATAAACACACATACAATGAAAGAATATTATTAAGTAATCGACTCTCTTTACAAACGATTAGACATTATATTGCTACTATATGTCTACGTATGGTAACGGTAACTTACGTTCGCCTTATTTGTCTTACGTATGATTACGCGTAAGAAAATAAATCTTTCTCTAGACAGTGATGGTAAATTGATACGAGGAATAATCAAAGGCACCTATATAAAACGGCTCTCGCCCCCCCCCCCCACACACACATACACACATACACACAGTCGCATGTACACAGTCACAAGGCACCCTCTTTCTTTCCCATTTCACCATGCATTCGTTTTTATCTCGTTTATTCACTGATATGAATTGAATTGCAAATCTGCTCCTGCTACATTATCAGTACAATTATAATGATCAAAAAATTTGCACTTAATTTGTCAGTCGGTAACCATTTAGACCGGTTTTCCATGAACGCGAAATCTGTATAAACATGTATATTCAAGTTGTCCATGATTACTATGTACCCTTAATTCCACGTATTCATATGGAGTCTTGATTGTTGTATTCTATAGTTAAAAATTTCAATTATATTGAAATGATTCTCGAAGGAAGCATATAAACTATATAACTTGATCATCCTGAAACTTACCACATGGTTTTTGAAACTTTCGCCTTGACAATACGATACAAAATAACAGCATTTGAATTTCATATCTCCTTTTTCTGAACAAGCACCATTATATCGAATGTATCTTTACAAACGTAATAACAGGAAACCCTCTAAATCATACTTGATGTACATACACTCCGTAAAAATATGTTACAATATGACTTCTTCAAAATGTGATAACAATCCTTCAAACGTTCAATCTCGTACGACCTAGTTGTTAAAGTTAAGCAGCTTTAAATTACTTTAAAGTGAACTCGAATTTTTATAATACGATCCTACTAGTTCTCCAACAATTTTTAGATTTTAGAGCACTATTGTAATGAACATACGTAAGCTCGTATGATACGATCTCATTGGCATTGTTTCAACGTCAAGCATCAATTTATGAATAATGCGATAGTTGGATCACGAAAGTATATGGCGTAAATTTCAGCCCATGTACAGCATGTAGAGTAAACACGTAATGTTTATCCTATTATATCACAATCGAAAAAGTACACATAACATAATTGTGCTTGTTTGAATTTAAATAATATTAAATTTCCACGGTAGATGAAATATGATATCTATGGTGGGTGGATATCCTACCCGATATCCTCCAAAGCATGATGGATATCCGTTTGAAACGAAAGATATAAAACCACGGTTACTTTCAAGATGACCCACTGTGTCAAGCTTAGGAATTTGCATTCGAGCGGAACAGGAGCAAAACGGATATTCTGTTCGCTCCAACTAACTCCACTTTTAATAATCTTAATCCTTCTAATGCAGTAGTAAAATGAGTTAGGTCAGCACATGTCTTGTTCGCTTCTGCCGTTACGAAAATTTAGTCAACTAAACGTTATGGTTAATTAAACCCGTGTTCCTTCCGTGTACAAATTTCTGAGCTTCGGGGAATAATAGAATTTCTGTATTAAAAGCGTAACTCACTTTAACTGGAAAGTATTGTAAACTATCATCCGAAGCTGTAAATTCATAATCGCCGAACAACACAGGTTCAGTATCATTTTCATCGATGAAACCCTGTATATGAAAATACGGAATTAAGCTGCATATCGGATATACAAAACGATCGATTTACTTACCCAAATGTTAAATTTCTTAGGAGCACTTTTCATTTCTCCATTAGGTAAAATCGATTTTGGTGCATGTTCAACGGTAAATCCAGTAACATAAATAGAACTGCGTAACTTGATTAATAGGTATCCTGGAAAACCTTGAAATGCCCAACATGCGCCTGGTTGTATTGGATTTCCTTGTATCACGGTGCGGGGATTATTATTTTCATGATAGAGTGTAAAAGCTAGCAGTTTGAATGCTCTAGTTTTTATATCATATCTTTGTGTACAACGTGTACTAATAATTTGACCACCTATTAATAAGAAACCAATGCATTTTATTCAGTCGGAACAATTAGCGAACCCGGTTAATCGATATGACGCGAATTTACCAGCAGATTCTAGAGCATAATCAACGCGTCCCGTTTTATCCGCATCATATATTTTTAAGGCCTCCTTAACTATTTCCCGCACACGATCATCCGTTATAACATTATTATTAGCAATCCATGATTTATCTCGTACTGTAAAAAGACTACATTGTAAAATCACTATCCCATTTGAAATATAACAGAGAAGCACAAGAATCTTTCATATGATTCATATGGTAATTAGGTATCGAATACCTTTAACTTTTTCTGCTTTCAATATTAATGCATTAAAATATTCGTCTAAGACAGTCTCGATATGCTTTTCCAAATCTTCGCTAGTAATATGATTCATATCTGCATTACAACACAATTTTAATTCCGAATAAAAATTTTTCAATCTTTCCAGTTGCGATTTAATAATATCAATCTCTTTAGCGTACACATCGACTAATTTATATTCCTCTAATCTCTTTTCCAAGAGTAATATTTCATTCTGAAAGAAGAAAAGCAGCATACATTAAACTTGGGAAATATCGTTACAAATTCAATTCATTTGAACTTACGTCATACTTCGACCAAACATATTCTTTTTTCTTTAGCCGCTCGAGCACTTGAGTTATGTTAAAAATACGATCCTATATATCAAGCGTTTCATTAGTACATGATACATAAAGAAGAAGACAAAAGAAATTTCTTTCATCAAAATTAAAAACCAACAAAAATTCTTACAGACTGTTCAGTAGCTTGATTCTCTAAGTTATTGATTCTACTGTGTAATTTGTCAGTAATAGACTCAAAGTTATCTTCTTTTGCAAATAATCGCTTATCATTTGCAATTAACTCCGATCCAAATCCAAATTGGTGTGTAATAACTTTAGTTGAAGAGAAAAGCGTTAAAAGTTGTGGTAAACACCAATAACCTGAAATATAAAAATTTAATCTTCTTCAGAATCTTTTGTCGATTTTGTAACTTGATACAACTACCGAGAGAAGGATAGACGAAGGGACTCACCATGCCGATGACATCGAGATATAGAGACTATGTCCATATTCCTTGCGAAGCGCGAATACTCCAGTTTTACATCGCCAATGAAGTAATCCTACTCCCTCTATCCTTCTCCCGTCATTAAATTTAACCATTTACTCGATTTCATTCATAACAGTTTTTGGTTTTTTATAAATAACATTACAATGTTACGAACATCAAACTATTGTAACTATTTTTACTATTTTTACGAACGCGTTGGACGACGTATGAACGTGCTCTTACTGATACCGCAACACTGGAAACACATGAAGATAATTTTTTGATCGAATTGTTGTCATTTAACTCGTTCGTATGCACGATCAAAAAAGAAAAGATGTACTAACTAGTAATAAAATCTGATGTATGTAATATAAATGAAAATATAATACCACAGTATCTAACAGCATTAATTACAACATCTATCATTCCAACTTTAAAAGTATGATACATACATAAGGTACAAATTTGTCCAGCAATAGTTAGTCAAATACGATAAAAACAACGACGGCTTAAGATCAGTAATCATTTCTTACAAACAGAACAAAAAGTAAGCGTTATATATTACAATGCGAACATAATACATACATATGTTTACATTTTACGCGTGTACCTGTATGTATGTATACGTGTATACACGTGTGTGTGTGTGTGTGTGTGTGTGTGGGCGCGCGCGTGTGTGTATGTGTGTATGTATGTACGTACGTATGTATATACGTATATATGTATATATAACATAAATTAAGATTTCAATTAAGTCCCCACGTTGTTATAAACTAGTTATGAAATTAATAAAAATCGGCAAACAAAAGACTCTCGAAAAAAGAAAAAGAGATGTTCATGACGCCTGGGCACTAGATCAAATTCTAACCAATGCTAAGGCATCTCGGGTAAAGACACGTTCACACCAGGCAAGAAATATTCTGATAAATTTTTAAGCGTTTTCATATATTCAACATATAAATTCTTTTGAAAAAACGTTAAACTGATAATATCGTTAAAGATGCGATAGCTCGTCTCAGTGACATCATAGGGAATATTGTGCAGAGAATCCAGACAGATAAAGGACTGTTTTTGCACGACGTAAGTTCCTGAAACAAAAAGAAAAAGAAACGCCAGGATAGGTTTCACCGGTCTTCCCGAAGATGCCAAGGCAAAAACTCGATCTTGTGGATGAACATAATAGATATGTGTGTATGCATGTGCGTAAGTGTGCTTATACGCGTACACACATTCGCGCGCGCTCACACACACATTTGAGAAAGGGGGTGTGTGAGAGAGAGAGAGAGAGAGAGAGAGAGAAGCAAAAAATAAAAAAGAATATCGATATAGAGACAAGGACTTTTTAATTGGCGAACCTTTTGCAATGACTTAACGATTATAAAGATTTACCAATAAGAAGAAGCAAGGGCAGTAAGGCAACCCAAAAAACCTTTGGGCTTCCCTCATGAATCCATCTTCTGATACTGGATATACGGCTCAATAACCATGAATCGAAGAAGAACACTTTGACCATAAAAAGATAAATATATTGCAAACAATGATCGATACGTTCCCAAATTTCTAACCATTTAGATTCTGAAATTGGGCAAAATTAATACGTGTTAGTAAATTATCCATTTGGTATTATATAGACGAAAGATTGTCACGATATGGCTTTTTCCAAGTATGCTAATAATTCATACCATGTCTTTGATATTCATTAGTCGAATATTCTCTTCTTTTAACTGTCTTGAGCTTCAGAAATTCAAGGAGTTTACTAAACCATACGAGAATAACTGACACAAAACTCATGATTTGTTGTATTACTTTGCTCCTTTGATTATGGTTATTCGAAATTGTTTCTTCTAATTCAACATCAGAATCGACGGTAGACGTGATATTGTATTTTCGGGAATCAGTAAATTTCGCCGGTAAATCAGAACGTAACAAATGCCTAAGAAACACATTTTCACATTTTCAAAACACATTTTCACATTTGTTGTATGAATAGATTTTAACAAAGGCAGTCACAAACCTTGTTTGTGAGTTCGTCGAATCTTTGGGTTCTGTATAAATTACTTCTCTGTGACAACGATATTGCTCTACATGAGTCTTCATATACTGAACCTTGGATTTTCCATCCGAACTTGGCACACGAGATCCATATAATTCATTAATGAGCTACAGAAAGTAGGAATAACACGAGTTCTCTATTAATTAAAAATAACGTTAAAAATAGATACTGTAAAAACAATATCAAACCATTATACATACTGTACAATTTTCTGCTTTTACTCCCTTCTTTTTTTCAATGTTTGTTGATTCATGAATATCACGCTCAGATGAACCGTGCAAAAATCGATTAGAATCTTCCATGTTTGAATGAATAGAACGTCGTGACATATTAGGCATTGCCAATATACCTGGCGCTATTTCATAACGACAATTAGACCTTTCAGAATAGGTGTAATCCGTTTTAGGAAATACACTGAAACATTAACAAAGAATGCAATATAATTAAATACACTAGAATACAAAGATAAAACAAATTATCAATAAAATAATTAATTAATTGATTAATTTCAGCTTGGTGAATATACAATATTATGATTTTGGCAGCATAAATACATACTTCCACCAATCACCAGCTTGCTTATAAATTTCATGTGCTGAACATGGTTTATTTGACAAATCCCCATGTTCTGCTTCTTCTGAAGAATAATCACTAGTGAAAGTCCTATGTGGAGAGATACTTTTAGGTCCTGATAAATTTTCTTTATTGTCAGGTTGACCATTTGCAAATATTTGCCTCTTTGTTTTCTGCCGTTCCGATCGACGCTCTGCTCTCTTTGTAGAATTTTCAAGTCGCTTGTTTTCACCCTCTGATATTGCTTCAACTGTAACAACTTTTTTCCTTTCTACCATGGTATCCACACTTTGGTCATTTACTTTACTGCTGCTACTAGGTCTATAGAAGTTATGAAATGATAATTCAGAATGCATGTAAATTATGTTTGATTTGAAGTACTCTCACAATTAATATTACTCTGATAATTGATAATTAATGCTATTAACACTTACAAAATTCTTGGACCGGATTGTCTATTGTTTGCAACATCTCCAGGAGTACAAGATCTTTCCCGACTTCTACTTCTTAAATCATAATGGTGTTCTAAAGTCTCTGGTTCAATTGATGTGCAGCTTTGTACCAAAGGAGTTCTAGAACGTGACCTGCTTCCACTTCGTAATTCATAATATCGTTGTTCACTTTCCATAATTTTGCTAAAAATAAAAACAATCTGTTCTAAGAGAATTAACAAGAGGAAGAAAAAACGTTTATTCTATAGAGATACATATATGTAGAATCTTGAAAACTAGAAGTTGAGAAGAATAATATGTATCATATTGGCTAAAAATAATCTCCCTCCTGCCGAAGGATATTTAAACATAGTCCTTCTTTCTCTCAGAGTCTTTATTGGCTCCTATTTCAAGCATACTTTCTCTATCTCTTTTACTCCCATTGATTTGAGCTCTCCTCTTTTTACTGAAAGAACCTCCCCTAGCACTGCACATTGAACATATGCATAATACGATATTACATATATGTACGATTAAATCTATATACCTATTACCTTATATGAATAAGCAAATGCAATGCACAAATATGAAGAACACACGAACGATCTGGTCTAACTTATGTATATAGTACTTGCTTATATAGAACCTTTTACAATACAAGTAGAGTTTAAAACACTTTGAATACTTTGAAACAAAATCAGTTTTAAAATCGCAGTTCTATGCGAAAAAAGACATTACATAAATATTAATATCACAATTTAACTTCGTCACTAACTTTCTCGAAAACCTTTCTATTTATAGATAACTCACCGAAAATGTATGAAAGAAATTCACAATTCTTCCTAAAGGATTCGATATGTCGTACATTCAAAAAGGTACAAAAATATTCGCTTTACAATATAAATTACACAGGATGATAGTTTTCGTAGTTGCTTTAAAACGTCTGTCAACATTCATATGATCATCCAAGATCGTAGATATAAAATCTAACGCGAACTTATAACGCGTAGAAAACGACGAAGAGTTGTACCTATGTGCGCGCGCATCTTACGATGATTCATTCTACATTACATCTTCCTATTCCGATATATGTATCTCAAGAATTTACTAAATAAAATCAGATTATAATTATTAATACAAAATAAATGATAAAGTAGATATTTTACCGATGATTATTATATTGTATCCAAGACATTAATTGTAAGTCAAAGATATATAATTCGTAACACTGTTTTTGTAGTAATCAAAAATATTGAAACATTATTGTAACTAATTTTCATGATTTTTATAACTCATAAGTTATCGTTGGTACTTTTCACTTTCAAACAATGTTATTATTCAAGAAATTTCAACAAATTTCTTCCTTTTTCTTAATAGGGGTCACTATAAAATAATTAAGGCATTAACAGAGACGTGGTGTAAGATAGACTTATCACCACGGACAAGGAACGCGATAGATCTACTATATCAATGTATTTATTTGCTTCATGTTTCAAAAGCTTATGTACTCGGCTATCATTTTAGTATCATTTCCAATATTACCGGTGCAATATAGAATCAAATCATAACATTCGTAGTAATTGAAATTAAAACTAACTGTAATTGTGAAATTACAGATAAGGTGTAGGATAAGAAATCTTATAATCACGAACAAAGTAAAGTACAATATTCTGTACTTCTATAATACTTGTTCATTGTTCTGCTTTTTGCCCTAATATCAATAAATAAACATTATTTATTAACTTGTGTAATAGCTTTACTTTACTTTATTTTAATAGTAACACAGAGTTACCGACCCAAATAATTATTATAGCATATACAAGCATTATGGAAATACAAAATTATATATTTGGTGTTTATATACTTTATGCTTTATATACTTGGTTCAACTATAAAATATTTTGTCTTTCCCTTTGTTTATAATGCTATAGTAAGTATAAACTTAGTTATACTCGTGTACCCAGTTTGAAAATCAATCATTACACCATATTGAATCGGTAATGGTGGGATTGATATTAGAATAATATTTAAGCTCACGAAGCTCCCGAGCTGTAAAACAAGAACATACAATGGGTAATGGGTCTATCCTATACTATAATTACAGCCTCACTTACGCGGGAAAAAGTAATTGATAGAGTAAATTCGAAGTTACTCTTAATAGTCAGAATTTAAGAATTTTGTGAATATGCTTTAATGTCAAATGGTTAAAAAATTTCATGCGAAAAATACTTTTACATATAAAATTTAAAATTAATAACATTCATTTTGCTTTAAATATTTTAATTATGTTACTTTAATTTTCAAATAATTCTAAGTAAGTTCTTATACGGAGGTAATGACATAATAATAACAAAATTTTTCATTTCAAACTGGTACTATTATAACTTGTATAATTAATGCTAAAGCAAATAATATAATCGCGCAAAATAAATGCTAGCATTCCATTATAATAGTTGTCTATACAACTATATAACGTATCGTTAAATGTGCAATCAAGGTGATAAAGTGTCGTTTTCCTTCGTAACCGTTACGTATTTACTATTTTATGATCACATGTGGAAACTAACAAATATTGAATTAATTGAAACAAGTTAAAATTGTTAGAGAACCATGGGTACAGCTAATAGTGATATGTAAAATGTGAACTTCGACGACTATAACGTGACAAATATCATAAGAAAGAGACAAAGAGTGAATTTATAAATTATTTATAATAGTTATTTATACTACTATTTATTATAGTAGTATATTATTATTACAAACATCAGAAGCCGTGTCGAACGTTAGTTAGCATCTGTAGTTAGTGATTTTGGCATAGATACGGTGGTAAAGGAAAGTAAAGAAGCTGAACGGGGATAACGATTGGAGGTAGTGTAGAGAGAGCGAGAAACCGGGTGACTGTGGACTGTAGGCTGTGATCTGCGGGAAGCAGGCACGGGCCAGTCAGTCCACTAAACAAAACATGGACGCCGTGGAAATAAATACGTCCGATTCGTCACAAAACGAAGAGGGCATTGTGTCGACGGAAGAAATATGTCGTGTTTGTCTTCTTGGCAATTTGGTGATGCGGGAATTGTTTTTGGAGAGTGAGGTTGCGTCCCTTTCAGCAAAGGCAATGAGTTTCGCTAATGTTAAGGTTAGACATGTAATTTGGAGGTTATATGATGTAGTAGAAATTGTAAGATAAAGTAATACGCCCGACATTAGATGCGTAATGCGCTCTTCCCCTTCCAGGAAGAAGAAAAAGAGAAAAGAAAGAGAAAAAAAAAAAGAAAAGAAAAAGAAAAAGAATATGAAAATTGGAAGGTTGTTTACTGCTTACAGTTATTCATTTCGTTTTTTAACTTCATGTTACGTTTCCAACATACTCAATGTTTAAACGTTTCTATGCGTTATGATTAAAATGTTTTTCTAGTAATAAGAAAACCATAAATCATGTGCGAAATCAATTTTTGTAATAAGTCTTATTGTTGTTCCTTGGTTATTTTAGATGTTACCTGGCGATGGCTTACCGACGCGTGTATGCTGTTTATGTGCTGACAAACTTGAATCCGCGTACGATTTTAAACTACAAGTGGAACAAGCTGACACAGTTCTCAGGGAAAGATTTGTTACTATGAATATAAAAGAAGAGTTGTTCTTTAATGAAGTTGAGGTACATCTAGAGTCAGGAGAGCAAAACGAGAATATGGATGAGATGCACATAGGGAATGATTATCAAAATACCGCTGAAACGCTTGCGACGATGTCTCGGGAAGAGAAATCATCGCTTTTGAAGGATCAATTGACTTTATTACAAGTGGAAAAATTAGCTGATGAAGAACAGGCTATGAGAGGTAAATAAAGGTTCGTTAAAAGTTCGAAATTTTCATTTCCGTTGTTAACGAGTCTTTCGCGTTTCCCAGAACAGAATCCTAGCGCGATAATGGAGGAAGTAATAGATCAAACTATTACGACGGACCAAACAGCAGAAGAGTGCCTAAATCATGAAGAAGAAGATGAAGAAGAAGAAGAGGAAGAGGAAGAGGAAGAAGAAGAAGAAGAAGAGGAAGAGGAAGGAGAAGAGGAGGAGGAGGAGGAAGAAGAAGAAGAAGAAGAAGAAGAAGAAGAAGAAGAGGAAGAAGAAGAAGCAGAAGAAGAGGAAGAAGAAGACGTTAAAGTCATCAAGAACGAAAAATTATTAAAACACGAAAACCGGGATCACGATTGTCTTGAAAATATCTCAACAGTGGAACATGATTATATATTACAACAGGAATGCGTATTATCTAACGCAAATGAGCAACAACAGCATCATCAGCATCATCATCATCATCATCATCATCATCATCATCATCACCAACAACAACAACAACAACAACAACAACAACAACTAACCTCTGAAGAATCATTCCAGCGCGAGGATTGCGCAGAATATGTAGATCTGTTAGTAAAGGCGGCCGACGCGACAAAGCGTGAAGGACAAGATGAAGGAGAAAAATCGGATATTACAAATACGGATGTTAAAGCCGAGTTAGAATCTCAATTTCATGGTGAAACTAGAAGGAGTAAACGTAAATTAGTTCGACGAAACGTTGAAATGAAACGAGATTCTGACGAGGAAAATTATTTTGAGAATTTAAATTTAAGCTCGAGATTAAAGAAAGGTCAGCCTTCTGATCAAGCGGAGAAATTTTTTTTTCTATGTTACTTGTGCGATAAGGAATTTTTGTCGAAAAACGTTTTAAAAGAACATATGCATTCTCACGAGGAAGTACGAAAAGCATTGTCTCTCAAAAAGACACCGGACACGCCGCAGAAGAACATCTACAATCTTGCTAAGTCGCCCCCATCGGGTAAAAGATCAAACAAGTGCCCATATTGTGGCAAACAATATATATATATAATCTCATTTAGTAAACATTTGAAGAAACATGAGAGGGAGAAAGAAGAGGGAAAGGATGAACCGATGCCTTTAGAAATATCATTCCACGAAGATGAACACAGTTTAGATCTAGATGATTATGAAGACGAACGGCGACATTTGGATATAGAGTATCGGAAAAAAGCCAAACAAAAAAGGGAAAACGTTACTAGAACAAAAATGGAAATAAAGGACGGGATGGAAGATCAAGAGGAACAGGAAGAACATAGAGAGGAAGAAACGGGAAACGAAACGAAAAGAATCAATGGACGTGGGGTCGGGAACAATAATAACAACAACAATGATGACGACGATGATGATGACAATGGCGAGGACGACGATGACAATGACAATGACGATGATGACAATAATGATATTGATGTCAACTATGACGATGTCAGACAAGTAGTAGGTAATAATTCAAATAAAGAACGGGAACAGGAGAATTGTAGTATTCGTACAGAAACGTTCGCATGTGATAGATGCACGGAGAAATTTTACACAAAACGCGGCTTGCGAAAACATGCGATTTCACATGCTGCTCTGAGGTGTAGCATATGCGAAGAAGAATTCAATTCGTTGATAAAGTTAAGAAATCACCGTGCGAAACACGTTGTCGAAGGGGTATTAACCGAGCAAGAACTTGAAATGGATACAGAATGTCCGACTAACAAAGAAACAGCTAGTTACCAGACAATGGATAAAGAAAACGAAGAAAGGAATCATGAGATGGATAATGAATCTGTAGCAGGATTGTTGGAGATCGAAAATAACGCATCAAAGAAAAACGACAGGTAGGTAAGAAGCAACGGTTTTTAAATATTTCGCGAGCGGATAGTTTGTAAATTCATTTTGACAAATGTATCATATTGTTTAGAAACATAGAAACGCATCGTCATTCGGGGATGGACCATAGTTGCAAGGTGTGTTGCCAACGATTTACAACGAAGGATCTTTTGCAAAAACACACGGAACAACAACACGAACGTGTGAAAACCTACAAGTGTACACAATGTAACAAAACATTCGGTAATGAACTTACTTTACGTAATCATCTCATAGCTACTAATCATAAAACTTTTCTTCATGGGCAAGAGTATGATCCTAATAAACGTATTAAAAGAGTCGCTGCGAAAGCCGCACAAAAGATTATCGACAAGATTAAAACCGAGGATGGTTTAGAAGATTACGACGAAGAAGAGGAGAATAATGGCAGGATTAATCGCGCTAATTCTACAGATAATAATTATAGCCGGAATAAGCGAGACATTTCCTCGCAGAAGAAACATAATTATAGAAAAGAACTTGAATGCGCAAGCTGCAATAAAAAATGCAGTTCAAAGCAATCATTAACGAAACATATGGAGCAACATGTAAAAGATGAACAACAACGAATGCTAAAGTCGGAGAAGCAAAAGCAATTGGCAGAGAAGAAAGAACGGCAAAAGGAGTGTATCAACGAAGAGATGGACAACGGGGAGCACAGAGATGATGATTACGATTCGGATTTCGAGAGTGGTTTGGATTGGCCAATGGACAATCATGAGTGCGCAAAATGCAAAAAACGGTATAGCACGAAAAAGTCATTGTTACGTCATCAATTGTTGCACGAGGAACCAAACTTCGAGTGTGATATTTGCAACGTTAAATTTTACCGTAAAGACAAACTGAAAGCTCATTATGATAAGTGCTCGGAAAAGAATCCTGATCAAGTGAGAAAGTGTAATATTTGTGGAGATAGTTTTGAAAACAACGAAATTCTACGTGAGCATAGATCGAAACATGTTACCGAGGGTATTCTTACAGAGGAAGATTTGAGAGATATTGAACCGCGACCTGAGGAGAAAAAGCCTGGTGAAAAAATTGGCCGAAAGAGAAGAACTGATATCGTAGGCTTAGAATGTACGGAATGTAACAAGCAGTATACATCGAGAAAGGGGCTTTTACGACATATTCAAGTTCATGAAGGGAAAAAGTATCTATGTGACATATGTCCGAAAAAATTTTATCGAAGAGAACATTTGAAGATACACGTGGCCAAACATAATATGATCAAACCGTACAAATGTACACGGTGCACAAAACGTTTTATTAAAGAAGAACAACTAACAAATCATTTATCAAAGCACGATCGAACATTCAAAAAGAACAAAGAAACGGATAGCTCGAAAAGATTCCTTTGCGAAATTTGTTCGAAGAGTTTTACACAATCAACGACATTGATCGCACATCTTAGAGCGCATAATGGTATAAAACCATATGTCTGCGAGGTCTGTTCTCGACCGTTCACAACGAATGCATATTTGAAAATGCACATGCGAACACATACGCAGGAACGGCCATATATTTGTCAATACTGTTCACGAGCATTTGCTAGAGCTGATACACTTGCCAATCATTTGACCTCGCACACAGGCGAAGCCAAGTATCATTGTAAGTACTGTCCGAAGAATTTCCGCCGCCTAAAATCTCTTAAAGAGCATGTTTTCATACATACCGGTCAAAGACCTTACGCCTGTCCAACCTGCGACCGACGATTCAACAACAACGGAAGTCGATACGCTCATAGTAAGAGGTGCAAACAAAATTTTGTACAAAATCAGAACCGTGCGCAAACATTAACTGCACAAGTGCAACCGGTTCAAAATCAGCAAAGAGTATTACAACAGGCCACTCTTGGACAAGGCCAAGTAGTAAAAACACAGAATATTAAAACTATTACTATTACTAGACAACCAGAGCCAGTTACCACTCAACAAACGGTAATGCAACATCAAGAGATATTAATGCCTTTGATCCTTCCTCTCACGGTTACTCTTACCGATGTCGGTGAGGAAGTAATATTACCAGAAGGAACCAAAATCTTTACTACGTCATAAATTCACACGCCACTTTCCTGCGTATTCATCAAATTCTTTTTTCGTTTCTATTCATGAAACCAAAACTTTCCTTCTCATCATTGCGAGGGAGAAAACGAGGAACGACGTGATGAAAAAGTAACTATGATACTGTTTTTTGACTTTGTATTATACGTTGTATATCTCTGTTTATATTTAAATATGAGCTGTAACTGTTGTAAACTATATGGGGATTGGGTGAAGTTGTTTAGAGTATCACAGATCTAGAACAAGAACAAAAAAGAAATAATTGAATGAAAAATTCTTTTACATGTTAGGGAAGAGAGCGAAGTTTCATTTTCAAGCAGTTAAGGTATGTTCTTAAATGACAGTTATACTGGCGTTTCAAATATAAAAAGAAACTATATATTCCGTGTCACATAATTTCAAGTTAGTTTGTTTAAATGTTTCCTGTGTGTGTATCTTTTGTCGTTCGTTCCTTTTGTTCGGAAAGCAATTACATTTATGACATGTAAACACGCAAACATGTATAAGCGTAAATATATACGTGTATGCATGGATGTATGTATATTTATGCGAAAGGTACAAAAGTCGTACAGAAAGATTTTGTGAAATACGTTCCGTTGTCATATTTCATTCGGAACTATTAAATGTTTCATCCATTCTATGGTGTCGTTTTAAAATAATACAAATGTAGGAAGATCAATAATAATTCTTTTTTAATTCATTCTAATCAGTTTATCTGTTAATACCATTAAGATATCGTAACTTGACTAAGTTCCGCATGCCTTGAAAAATTATAACCTGTTTTGAATTTGAAAAGTTACTAAACTAACGTACAAACGAATCTACCGCTTTTTAACTGTACATTGAAAAGTCTTATCATTTTATCAAGGCATATAACTATGGTGTATATACCGATTGATTTTAAACGTATAGAAACTATTATCCAAAGAATGTATTATAAATTGTACGAAAAGTGCAACATAATTTTTTACAAAGTATGGATTTCTGATTATTAAATTACAACAAAAGGACAAAAAAGAATCACAAGATTGTATAAAAATTATGTGACGTTAATAGTATCGTTGAAAGTAATCGCATTCCTAATGTAGTACGATATCGATGGAACGCAAATACGAATGCAGATCCCTTTTATGGTCCGTTAGATTGAGGCATTTATTTAATAAGATTATCCCAGTTTCAAGAATCCCGTGAAACAATTCTGTGGTATTTGTTATGTCATACGTGCATATGCATATTCAGTAGGACACATTACATTAAAATTTGTAAAGTGAAACTAGGCTTACAAAACTGCAATTATAATACTATTGCAGCGTATTAAAAATTTACTTTCAGCAGATGCGGATCTTGGTTTATGATTTATTTGTACATATACTTAAATACTGTGAATAAAACATCCGTAGTATCAAAATATAGATTTTTGCTTATTCCGCTGATTGACGACGACACAACAGGTAAACGATATATCGTGAGATAGATATATATATATATATATTTGTACATACACGCGCACTTGTGCGCGCGGGCAGAATTTTCTCGCTTGTAACAAAGCAAACGTAGAAAGAAAAAAAAGAATAGAAAATACGTTGATAGTGATTCTACGCGTGAAAAGTACAAAGTAATAAATAAATCATTGGAAACAAACAGTTAAAGCACAGAAAAATGACACACAATCAAATATTTGTGACGTAATATTGTCATTTGTTAGACTGAACCGAGTGTTTAACTATCGATTACCCATAAAACGTTTATACCTGATGTACCTAAATTAACACGACCCAACATACCATGATTTCTTGTTTTAACGATGTATAAAAATAACAAAAGTGTATGAAATAAGTTGTTTCTACCCTAAAAATGAAAAAGAGGAAATAATTAATTTCAATTTGCAAATATTACAACAATGAAATTAAGTAAAAGTGATGATAAAGTAAATTTCATTGAATATATTTACATGTTGTATTTCCTCATAATCGTTAGGCGATGAATCTCCAGAATGTGCCAAACTATAATGTGGTGGATTTATAGACTGGCATACTATCACAGGGCCTTTGCTACGCGGTAAAGTCATTCCTGATCTAGCCATGTATCTTGATGTAAACGGTCGTGCATCGGGTTGATCTAAAGGAGCTTCTAGTTGTGTATCCATATACGTTGATACTAAATGCATGATTATCTAGAGAAATAACATATATATATATATATATATATATATAAATAAATAAATTTTTGGAAAAATTATATATATATATAATAATGTAATTTTATATATAGTATAATGTAATTTTTCCAAAAATTTATTTACCGCCGAGTCAGTAGGTAAACTGGAATCCCATTCCTTATTATTATGAGGTCCGCCACCATTCCACTTGAATTCGCTCATTGAACCTCCTTTTGCAAGTGTTTTGATTCTCTTAACTAGATATTCCTGGTTGTTAGAAAGTTCTAAGAAAGGCACCAAAGTTGGTAATGTAGGAATAGCAGAGACCAAAAATGGTGCTTGTGCAAGCTTTCTTAATCTATGCAATCCAACACATCCCAATTGAGAATCACTTAATCCATGACGAACCAGTGCCAAACAAACATTATCAATTTCCGCTGCTACACGTTCGACAACTGTTTTGCTAATCCACTGAAATGGTTGATATGATATTTTTGTTACAGATATTCAAGTACAAAGAAATATGTTAGAAATTATTATCTGATCGTTCTACTTGCCATACGAAGATTTGCCGTCCATTCGTTTACTTTAATCGGATCGATTCTATATTTTCTCCAAACATCTGGTGCACCAAACATACCCCTAGGTGAATTGCCCTCTTCAGTTCCTGGACTAACTGATTTTGACTTATCTATCGAAAAAGAAAACGTTTTAATTTCCTTTTTCATTAAAAAAGGAAAAATCATATGCTGTCTTACCAATGATAGGTGCCAGTTGGTATGCGCATCTTCTTAATAATGACGAGACTTCTCCAGGACTTCTAATTGCTGGATGCGACCAAAATGAACTAAGTAAATTAGAAGGCTGATCAATATCCGTTGATAGAACATGCTTTTTTTGACATGCTTTCTCCAAGTAATTTTTTAATTCCTTCTCATTTTGAATCAAATCTTCACCAGTTAGATTTCCATTTGTTGAAACATTGAGAGATTTATTGAAAGATCCATTAGGGCTGGACGTTGATTTTTGTGATGTAGGACTACCATATTTAAAAAATGGATTTGATGATGAAAAGTCCTCTTGAAAACAAAATTTATGTACATCTCATGGAAAAATTGTTTGAAAGATATTAAAAGGTAAAGAAAAAATGTTTGTCATACTAGATTCGCTTAATCCGGTAGAACCAAGACTCATTCTTCTATTGAAACTGATACATGATAAATTTAACGGAACCATTGGCTCACATGCCTTTTGTGATGCTGGTAGTTCATTCCTAAAAAGGGGATCATCCTCTGATACACCTAACAAACGTCTTTGCTTAGGGCTTAGCAAAATTGGACGTAGAGAAAGATTTGCCCATGTGTAACGTGTTATATGATAAAGGGCATTTAATGCAAATATCGAGGCCAAACACCACTCTGTCCAACAAAATGGTTTATACGCTGCACCTCCATATAATCTACAATATAACATTATAGGTTATGTTTGCTTTCCCCAATACTGATAAAGTAAACAACTGACTGATAAAGAGAGAGGCGAATGATTTACATATCAAAGACGAGGATTCCAAGTAAAGAACTATTGACAAAAAACCACGTGATACTGTTTCTTGCTCTACTTTGGGCTTGCCTTATGTCGAGTGTTTGTTCCACTTGAGGTTTGGCAGTCAAAACCCTATAAATCAAATTATATTTTAATTTAAACATACAAAATTGAAGTAACTACTTTTCTAACCTTCCATTCAATTCCCGATTTCAATTATAGCTTATCATATTACCTTGCATTAGGAGAAATACAGCGCATTGGGGACCGAAAGTTACTCATTTCCTTTTTTTTATTCTTTTTTTATTTTATATTTTTTAACTGTATTAATTTAATCTAAAATCACTTTTTCTAAAGACCACTTTGTCATTTTTGCTAAATAATTTCTCTATATGAGCGAACAATGCGACACTATTTGGCGCGTTTTTAGTAACAACGGAAATGACGTAATATGTGTACGATTTGTATGGCTCAACGTATTTAAAATTATTAGTTAATGCGAAATTACATTATCATTCTATCATATATACGTCACATCATATAAATGCAAGTACTACCATTCAGTAGTGATGATGCTACTAGATTACTAGCCAACAATTAGAATTCATGCATTGTATATATGCGCATGTATAATCGCCGCGAGAAATATAGTACATGGACCTTTAACCTTTCGTAAATCATTGTTAGCAATACTCAGCAATAGAAGAATTGATTCGAAATTGTTATCGTACGACACTGATTGACTCCCCCTTCATTGTTTTACCTTATTGTGTCAGTAGCTGAAACACTTGCACTTTTACGTCCGATTAATATTACGATATATATATATATATATGGATATTTTATGCTTGATTTATTATGTTATTTATTGTAAAATAAAAACACAAACTATTTGAAAACACTAACGTAAATAAACAAAATCAATAATACACATTAATATATAATATTTGTATCTTATGATATAGATTTAATCAGTTTAACGAGAACTTTATCCTTCGGCACATTGTCACCAATCGAACACGATACACTTTCGACGATTCCACTTGTGGATGCTCTGACAATATGCTGGAAGCAAATGATCAACTTTGAATCATAAACACATATTTGTGTTTCCAATGATATTGAAATAGATATAAACGTACTTCCATCTTCATGGCGTTAATCACGACTAAAGCGTCCCCAATTTTTACAGTATCTCCTTTCGCCACAAATAATTTTCCCACAAAACCTGGCATAGGACTTAAAGCTTTACATGGATCTAATTCAGTCTGATTATTTGTCAATTTGGAGAGAAATTTCGTGGGGGGTATATCAAATTGCCATTCACGATCCTATAAGAGTGAAAACTGCAATGAATAAATTGTTGAGTGACATTTTTATGAATTGTTATCATCTAAGAAAAATCTATTAGAAAGAAGAAAATACTAGCTTTGGTAAATAAATGTATTTTGTTGTAGATTTTGATTATTCTCGCTTTGGTAATAGTTTCGTCGATTTCAGTACATAATTCCAGCGAGTTTTCTTTTCTTTTTAATGTGCCTGTTATTCTTCTCCAAGGACCAATTTGATTAATTCTCATGGAATAGATCTCAGGTTCGACATATCTTACTTCAACTTTAATATCATCTTCGCCAACATTGAAAGAAAAAGTTCGTGTTAAAGTGTAATTTAATCTTAAGCCGATTTCGGTCGCGAAAGGGCTAAAAGGATCATTGGTTTTGAAAGAAGATTGCAAGGAATGCGTGTCGTCATAAAGTATCAAAGCGAGAGTAGCCTGAGCCGCAATTTCACTTGGTACATGTAAATTTGGTAATAGTTCTCGATAATGCTCTTCTATGAATCCTGTATGTATTTGACCTTGCCAAAAATTAGAATGAGAACATAAATCTTTAATGAATTCTATGTTCGTATCAAGTCCTGCTATCTAAAAGTATATGTAACAAATTTTATAGATATCTAATATTTTCGGCGAAAACTGTATTTCGTTCGCAAATTGCCCTACATTATAGTCATTTAACTGCAATCTCAATATAGCCAATGCTTCTTGACGGTCTTTTCCCCAGACAATTAATTTTGCGATCATCGGATCATAATGAACAGATACCTCGTCTTTCTCACGAATTCCGGTTTCGACTCTAATCGTTTTACTTAAGCTTTCCGGAATTCTCATATATGATACCTTTCCCGCTCCTGGCAGAAAATTCTTCCTCGGATTCTACAATTTAATAAAATTATAAATTTTATAATCAACGGATTTACAATTCGTTGTATTAAAAGAAAAGCAGGATACAACAGAACAATATATTTCTAAAAGTCAAAGCCCACTTTTCTTCGCTAAGACACGAAATTTTACAAATTTATAAGAAAAATATGATCACCTCAGCATAAATTCTGGCTTCAAAAGCGTGCCCTTGAAAAGTAATTTCTGTTTGTTCTAATGGAAGTTCTCCACCCGCAGCCACTCGTAACTGCCATTCGACCAAATCTAATCCTGTAATTGCTTCTGTGACAGGATGTTCTACTTGAAGGCGCGTATTCATTTCCATGAAATAAAAGCTGTTCCGATTGGGATCCATTATGAATTCAACTGTACCAGCGCCAACGTATCCCACCGCTTTTGCCGCTTGAACTGCTGTTGTGCCTAAATCCGACCTTAAATTTGCTGAAATGCCGGGCTACGAAACATCATGATCGCTACATAATTATGATTTTTGTGGTACTGAACAAATCCATCGATATATGTGAGTCATAAAAGTTTAAATGTACATACTGCAGGTGCTTCTTCGATAACCTTTTGATGTCTTCTTTGAATAGAACAATCTCTTTCAAACAAGTGTATAATATTTCCATGTATATCCGCAAAAATTTGTACTTCAATATGTCTTGGATTACTGATATATTGTTCGAGTAAAATAGCCGAATCACCGAATGCTTTTTCAGATTCTGTTCTTGCAGATTCTAATGCTTCAATAAACTCTGATTCTTTTGAAACTATTCTCATTCCCTTTCCTCCTCCACCACGTATAGCTTTTATCATTAAAGGAAACCCTATTTTTTTTGCTTCCAATAACAAGGTTTCATTAGACTGATCATCTCCATGATATCCTAACTTTGTCAATAGCATAATATTAAATATGATTAATATTTTTATTCATAAAAATGTGTGCATATATGCATATAGTGACATAAAACATACCTGCTATAACAGGAACGCCAGCTTTTATCATCATATTCTTCGAAGTACTCTTAATTCCCATATTTTTAATAGCATTTGCTGGAGGTCCAATAAATGTAATATTTTCCTTTTGACAAAGTTCTGCAAATTCTGCATTTTCTGAAAGAAATCCATACCCAGGATGTATTGCTTGACATTTTGACTTCTTTGCGATAAATATAATTTTATCTTGTCTTAAATAACTTTGATTAGAAGGTGCTGGGCCAATACAATATGCTTCATCTGCTTGTTCTACATGTAAATTATCTCTGTCTACATCACTGTATATTGCTACAGTCCTTATACCCAATTTCTTGGCAGTTCTTATTACACGACATGCAATCTCCCCTCTGTTTGCAATTAAAATCTATAATATAATGAGGAACTGTACTTTTACGATTTCGATTAATTTTAAAATATATAAAAAGAGTTTTAATTAAAAAGATTTGTCCTTACTTTATTGAATCTGTTACTTGCGATTCTAGAATTGTGCAAATTACGTACGTATGAAGACAACCTACTCCACCTAAGCATTATTATTAAAAATACACATATAATTATTCGACTTTGTACAAGAAAACAATTTAAACGATATCATAATTTACTCACTGTAAAATTGATATACGTATTTTTTCCGCTCGCCGCATGTCTTATTCTTAGAATAAATCTAAATAAATGCTGTTCCGATCCTTTCGTTTAAAACAAAGTTTATCGTTTATGTTGACCATTGAAGCAATTCATGTAATCGTTAACCTTTATAGAAAGGTTATACGTATATATTATTACATCGATAGATAAGATAATATTACGAATATGTGTAACTGCTTACAATCGCAGATGGTATTTTTCCTAAGAAAAAAGGAAAGAAAGAGATCAGAAATGGAAACATTTACGTTAGAAATAAAATTATTCATGTTATAAATTTGTATTATAATGTTAAGAAGAAAAAAAAAAAGAAAAATATTGGCCCATGAGGGGATCGAACCCGCGACCTTCGCGTTATTAGCACGCCGCTCTAACCAACTGAGCTAATGGGCCTATTTGATGTTGAACGTTTATTATAACATAAACATGGTACAATTCAGAAATTGATTTAAATATATCAAACAATCGAAAAGCTATAAATGGTCTATTAAAGGTCTACGTAAGTATATTGTATAGTAATTATTAGTTACACTAATGTAAAATGTTCATTGATAGATGTAAAAGTTTCAGCATATATCGTATATATTATATATAAATGAATAAAAGAAATATGGAAGATACTTAATTTGAACTTTTAACTGTTTTTATTTAGCATAGTACAAAGTAACCGTAACTACTGTTTTATGTTCTTTGAATAATGTATTATAGACAGAAGAGTACAATCTGCTTCTAATAATGTCAAGTCGGTAGTTGCACCTAAAAATCGTGTAGATAATTCCAGATCTTTTATTAATAATTTAACTTTTGTACCTCTAGTGAATAAACTGAAACAATAAAATCAAAATGACCATTTAATATAATAGGAACTGGAACTTGTGACTTACTTTGATTGTAATTCAGGTCTTGGGCACACGCAATGAAATTTCCATCCAAAGTCAATGTATAAGTCATTACCGACAACATTAAAAATTTCACCCACAACTGCTTTCTGTGTAGGATCTCCTAGCTGAAATGTAATTAATACATGCAAATAAAAGTAATAACACGTAGATCTTGTGCAAAGAAATTATTAAACCATATAATATACTAAAACATTCAATATTCACATTTATGAATTTGGAATGTCGGAGTAAGGAAGTGAAAGTATTACATTTTGAAGTTTCAACATTATCTTTAGTTTTAAGATCTTTGGTTAGTTCAGAAATCTGCTTAAAAATGTTGAATTCTGAATCTATGTCACCAATTTCATATTTCTCCTTATCTGTTAAGTTTCCAGTTGAATCTCCTTTAATACTGTAATTTCGAACACATAATGCACTTTTTCGAGGAGTAGAACCAGAACATAAGTGTCTAATTATCGTTTGATAACGTTGAATCATATTCATTCTAGACGAAGAAAATAGCGTCTCCTATTAAACGTATGTATAGGTTATGTTCTAATATTTGACTTCTTTGATAGATTTACAATCTTTCTAGTGCTGAAAGAAAGATTTCTACGTTTTTCGAATGGTTTTAGATAAATTAAGTGAGTTATGTGATTAGTATTAAATCCTAATGAAATAAAATAGATATGAACAAGATTATACGTATATTTTTGCTATTTTATTTGAACTTTTGCTTTAAAATTCGTGTATTTCGATTCAAAACCGGTAATAGAATGAATTTTATATTTTTCAAACTTTATAATATTTTTAAACCAAGGACATTAAAAGTGAAAGAAATAATTATAGTTAATTAAATTTATTTCATTTTATTTTTATTTTTTACTCAAAGTTTACACTGAAAACCTTTTTCTTGCCAGAGAAAGAATTGAGCAATATTCAATAATGAAAGTATAATGTGCACAAACGCTGTATACATATATATCGAAGAAATTTAATGTTATTGTATAATATTATAGAAAGCATCAAAACAATGCCAATACGCAGCTCACTTTTTAATATTATATTCAAAAGTTTTTCTACATCAACAAGATGTAATCAAATAATTAAGCTGACAAGATTAAGAGTTGTGGATAATAGCGAAATTGGAAAACAGGCTATGATGGAAGGAAAACCTCCACGCTGTATTCATGTTTATAATAAAATTGGAGTTGGTTACATAGGTAAGCTGGTTTTATTAAAATAATTTATAATTAATAGGTATTTATCATTATTTACGAATAATATAGGGGACAAAGTACTAGTTGCCATAAAAGGTGAGAAGAAAAAAGGTATATTAGTTGGTTTGAGACAGCGTCAAAATCCAAAGGTACCTAGATTCGACAGTAATAACATAGTACTCATAGACGATAACGGAACACCGTTGGGCACTAGGATTCATGTACCTATTCCTCATATTCTTCGAACAATCATGAAAGAAAAGACACACTCCAAAGGTGCAGATTATACGAAAGTGTTAGCTATTGCTACTAGGTTCATATAACACGTATAAATCCATGTATAACCACTTGTACATCTGAAATAAAAATTGTACATGCATACATATAAATTTATGTGCATGCATATATATTGTATGTGTACATATGTTTAGGGATATGAAGCATGGTATTTGCGATGCAAATTCTTTACTATATTCTTTATAGTTATACTATATTCTTTACTATATTAGCTGAAAGCATGCATCGTGTTGAAAGAATAATTATAATTAACAGCACAAGGTATGAGAAATATGACAGGAAGATAAAAATTTCGGTCCTAACGATGATTGAACATCATTTGATTGTCAATATTAAAAAAAAAAAAAAAAAAAAA